AGCTTAAGCTATCTGTTTTACCTGGGTCAAGTTTTAAAACACTGGGTAACCATAGTTACTCCGAATTACATATTTGGGTCAGTTAAAGTCAACATTAAATCTTATATGGCAAAATTACCAATTTCTGAAGCAAGCTAAATTTAGATCCATCAAACTTCTTCTTCAAAGACTAATACAAATATTCCCAAATTTCTTAATTTTTGTTATCTGAGTATTTTCTGACKTATTTTAACCTGCTAAATGAAAAACACAGGAACCATTACCACAGACTGGGTTTCTTTTGACAAATGAAACTGATATTTTTCGACTGCAGCCRTAGTTTCTGAAACATTTCAAATATTTCCACCCTTTTCTGTACCTCAGTAAAAAACCGTCCATGTGCAAATAAAAGCTAAAGCTAATTCAGRCTTTTTTTTATTTCAACACAGTTTATCGATGTGTGAAATGTTGATGACCATCAAATAAAAACATGAAGGGATTTTAGTAATGTAAAAAAATACAATGTAGCCACAAAATTGAATCAATAAAAATAGCTCAAATATGATTTTATAGTCTCTTTATTCTTATTTTTTCTTGTAGTGAACCACTGCCCTTTAGTAGAAAAAAATACATGAAATCACATTATCGCCTTTTAGCCTTTGGTGACGGGTGATAAATAGTTTCAGACAAGAGTTCTGTCTTTCATCTGATGATCTCTTGTATTCAATTTATTATCTTTGCTTTTTGTAATTCTGGAGGTCAGTTGTTTTATTTAAAAAAATCACAATAAAAGTCATTTTGAGGCCCTTTAAATASAAAATTGTGTTAATTTAAATAAAGTTCTGATGCAGTCAGCAAAATCAAGATTTTAATCAGAATGAAKGCATTTATTCCAGCATTAAAATTCCTTTTGTACAAGAAAATACATCGATTTTTCCCTTCGATGCACTTTTTGTCTCAGTCATTGTTTGGGGCTCATTGTTCCTTCAGTGTTTATCACAAATGGAAGCAGTCTACACACAAGTCGAAACACGTCTACATTAACAACTAAAACAAATCTCTGCTCATCCTGGTGGTAAGCTGCAGCGTGCTGCTGACTGTTAGCAGGTTAAATTATGGGGAATCTGATGAGTCGAAGCAAAAACACAATGAGTTCTCTAATGACTAATGAGTGGTTTCCAATGAAGGGCTCAACTGTTCCTTCTTTCTCTTAATAAATGAGAATATTGAACACATTCCTTCCAACAAAAAATGGAAACTCACTCGTCAGGTTTGCAGGTTATTAAAGGTTGAACTGTTCAGTTTGTGCAGGCAGCTGCACTCAGCGTGAGATGTAAAAATAACGCCACGACGCGCCGACGATGAGGAGCGGTCCTCGGGGTCTCAGAGCAGAGACTCCCGCTGTGGGAAGCTGAAACATCCTGAAGCACGGAGCAGCTGAGCCAACAGACATGAAGGAATCACATTTAGCATTTTATTMAACACCAGAATGTCTCTTCTGAAGAGAGACTTTTCCTGCCTCTCCATCTGTGGGAAAGACGATACCTGCTGGCTGGTGGCTATTTTCACCTGCCGACCTCCAGGTTTGTGTTGCAACAAAGACGGCGTTTCACGGAGCCAGACAAGGACATTCCTGCTGCGGAGTCAGCTTTCAGTGAAAGTTGAGCAGCTTTCTGTCGCTGCGACGCCACAGAGGGAAGGCCTGACTGCGCAGCTGCTGCCAGGCCTGCTGGTACCCCCGGGACGCCTGCTTGTAGTCCCAGTAGGTCTGCAGCTGCGCCGACCTGAACACAGAAAACCAGAGTCAGGAGGGGGAAACTGGGGGTCTCACGGGTCGTTTTTAACAGTTTTAAAAGTTTCAACACAATCTGAAAACACATGCGTGCTTGTGAAATTTGACTGATCTGAACCACTGCAGACACAGGTATCATATCATCWGAGATCATTACTCTGGTATTTGAGTCGGGTTGTGGGGCAGCAGCTTGATCAGGGTCAGACCTCTCTCCTCTTCTGGGAGGATTCCAAGACGTTCCCAGATAACAGAGATAGTCTCTCTAGAGTTCCGGTTCTTCACCAGGGTCTCCCCCCAGTTGGACATGCCTGCATCAAGGGGGCATCCTTGTCAGAAGTCTGAACCGCCTCAGCTGATGTGATCTACTCGAGTCTCTCCTGGAGAACTGAGTGGGGTGGGGGTCCAGCTACCCTTCAGGGAAAACTCATTTCAACCTCCTGTATCTGTAATCTGGTTCTTTGGGTCACTACCCAGACTTCATGAGCACCGGTGAGGGTATCTGTTGATCCCCTGCCCCATTCTTCCCTCATATGTGAACCAAACTCTGAGATCTTTGACCTGCTCCACTTGAGGAGGTTGTTGTTTTTAGTTTCTCGCTCAGCTGAAGAGTTTGGATCTGAAGTAAATAATTACTGACTTGTTTGTCTTCAGCTCTTTGTGACTGTAAAGAATAAGAATATTTGCTAGTTTCTGATTTTTTAGAAAATCTTGTTTTGTTTGCTGAAGTTGCACAACGTACACACACACACACAMRCGAGTGCACACAAACAGTAAGAATTCCTTCCATTATTTCAGAGTACATTCTGTTTATTTATGTCTATTTCCTGAAGACGTAAAACCAAGTCAACAATGGAGGGGGAGTGGTGGCTGTGTGGCGTAATTTAGGGACAAGATGTTCTGTAAGAATGTRTTTCAACAGTGTTTTATTTGTTTTGAAAACTTTCTGTAACACGTTTAAYGGAGGAAATTAAAAAGGTTTGTCTTTTTTTTAAATATATTCTAAAAAATTCTATATTTATCAAATTCATAAGTCACATATTTGAAGATATGTTTATAAWTTAATTATAGTTTCCAACTAATGATCTCTGAAATGTGTTTTTGGTCACACTGAATATCCCTAATTTCTTACATTTTAATTATTACAACTCTATGACAAATACATCCTAGTTRTATTATGTCTGAGGGAAACAAACTACTAAACAGCTTTGAGTAAACAGCAGGTTGTCATAATATTTACAAAGAATAAAACACGTCTGATTGGTGTAGGCTAAGTTACCTGAGAGAGTCAGGGAGACATAAAGGCTCAGTTTTCGCCACCAGAGACAGAAATGAATGAAAAAGCTCCAGTTTACACAGAAGAGATCTGAAAATACACAAACATAAAAAATAAAAGCCTTCAGAGATAAAAAAAAAAAAAATCATTAGAAAGTAAACTATGTCTTACAACAAGCAGACCTCACCTGGATTTAGGTGTTCCCATAACCTTCTTGGTGACTCCATGTTTGTACCCGTTAGCAGTGACATCTAGTGGCTGTTCTGCAACATTACACCAGCTTATGGCTGAAACAAACGCTGTTATTTACTAAACAAAACCACACAGATGTTTCAGAAGTATCTGTTTAGATGATTATTATTGATTAAAGCGGATTGTTTTGTTTCTTAGTGAACACACCTGCTCCACAGGCAGAGACACGTCCTTGACTGGCTCGGTGTTGAAGGTTGATCTGGYTCTGGCTAAAGGGAAACTCCAGGCTGGACTGAAGCAGTTCTGGTGAACATACAGAGAAACCAGCAGGGAGGTCTGATACATGAGAGCACCTGCGAGTAAAAAAAAAAAAGATCAAAACCCAAAAGATTTAAGGAAAGTCAGCTGGTAAACAGATTGATTAGTTGCTGGTAAATTAGCTAAAAGTAAATAAATATTATTTCTGCACTGAAATATTTTAAAGGTGGCATGAAAAAATTATCCAGAAATAAAGAAACACGTCCAATAAAATCTTCTTGTAGAAGAAAAGTCCTCACCTGCTGATCAAAGCTCGGTGCATCACCTCCTGGCTGTACTGACACTTGCCCACCACCACGGTGCTGAAATAGAGGGCCTCCTCCAGGTAAAGGGCCAGCAGAGCACCCTGAAAGCCCACCACTCCCCAGCGAGCCAGTTTGTCGCTGCAGGACAGGGACAGCGTTGGCTCTCCTCGGCCCGGTTTCACACGGAGCACACCGGTGCTGTGGTACCCCACCCCTGGGTGCAGAGGGTCCACCGGGCCGCCCGGGACACACTTGGCTCCGGTCCTGTGAATGTCCTGGACCTGCTCGGTCTGACTGGAGTCCGCAGAGCCTCCTGATGCAGCTTGTGAAACATCGTCCGGCGTTTTTGACGAGTCGCTCTGTGAAATCGGTTCTGTGTCGTCGTTCTTCGTTTTTTCTGCGTCCTTTTCCTCGAAACGAGGCAGCTTCAGGTTTCCTCCTTCACTCGGTTCTTCTGCTTTCCTTTTCATGTTCCTGCCTCCATCACTGCCCTCACTGCTGCTTACAGATGTGACAGGAGGGCGGGGCTTAGACTGGCTGTCAGTCATCGGAATGATGGAGGCATCGCCACCTTGTGATAAAAAAACAAGTTATCAGATTCTGTTTAAATAGCTCTACTGGACCAGGGGTGTGCTGCCTTTACAAAAAACTAAACATGTTTGTTAGGTAACTCTAACATGTCTCTATGTGGGAGTGAGAGCGTGAATGGTTATTTGTCTCTACGTGGCCATGTGATAGATGTGTGCCACCTCTGCACTGCTGGGGATCATCAGTTCACCCACAACCCGAAAGGAAAAAACGAGTAAAGCATCCTTTACTTACAGGGAGTGTGACTGGTGAAGAGGAGGAAGGAAACTCCTGGCTGTAGCCTCCATTTTCCTTGCTGACCAGCTGAACAGAACACGGAGTTGCTCTGACCGCAAACGGCTCTCTGCAGCTCATGGATCAGATACCTTCAAATACACACATTAGAAACAGTTTGAACTCGATTCACGACCTCTGTCAAGAGAAAGAGTCAAAAACAAAACAAACAATACCTGATACAGCCCCTTCTGGCGATGACCTCTGCATGACTGTCATTAAGAATATCACCTAAATGTAATTAAAAATAAACATGCTGATGAATGGAAAACACACTACATTTAGTTTTAAACACTGGTTATCATTTAACTGAAGTATATTTTAAGTTATAGTCTGTATTTCCCCCAGAACTCAAAATCTTTACAAAGAATCTTGATTATGTATAAACTGATAGAAAGACTAAATATTAAACATGTACCAAAAACTAACAAAATAACAAAAGCACATACCATTAGGACTCATAGATGCTTGTCCAATACATTTGGTCCCCGTTCCCATGGAAACAACCTCCTTCTCAACTGATGTGTGTAAAAAAAAAAACAAGTGGCAGCAAAGAGTTTAGTTTAAATGCAAGATCATATTGTAGTATTTATTCTGCTGTCTAACCTGAGTCAGAGTTCGCACAGCGGGTGATTTTGAGCACAGCGGCCAGCAGGGTCCACTCTCTGCCCGGCTCGGGCTTCCCTCGCCGGGGCAACCGGCTGAAATGATCGTAACACAACCGGGCGACTTCATCCGCGTTTATCATTCTAAACGAGTAAAAAGTAGTGCGAGTGAAGACAAGCGAGCAGCACAAATGTGAATAAAATTAGTGGAGATTATTTTATTTTGCTCTTTTCCCACAGAGACGTTTTTACACTGGTTCAAGTTTCAAGAAACAGAACTTCTCTGGCGTCGGGATGAATCACTTCCGGGTTGAGATGGCAGAAAGCGTGACCTTCACAATAAAAGTCTTAGCTATGTGAAGATTTTATTGTGTTTATTTATTTTCATTCAGCAGCTTGCTATTCCCCCCATTTTTAATCTACTTTGAAAAAATTACTTGTTCCTTTCCATTTTCATATATTTTATTTTTTGTTGTTTATTGAGCCACCAATTTTTGATGAAACACAAACTAATTTTGTCCTGATGCATCTCAGTAATCCAGGTAGGAAAAAAAAATCAAAAAATAAGTAGGTCCTCTGGATGGCTTCTTTAGTGAAATGTTTCGTCTCTCATCCAAGAGACTTCTTCAGTCTGATGAGTTTCAGGTGAACTCAGCCTTATAAGCACTGCCTCCACCTGGACAAACAGGTCAGTCATATGCAAAAGAGGGCCATCGCTTAACAATAGGCTTGACAAACTAATTTTATTGAAAAATTGGAATAAAGGCCACCTTTATTCCAATTTTTCAATAAAATTAGTTTGTCTCATAATATGGGAAGAATAATATTTAAGTGCTGTTTTACACAGCACTTGAATGTTATTCTTCCCATATTGAGGCAACGATTTCAATAAAAATGCCTAATATCACTCCAAATACACAACCATAAGCAAATCCAACTAAACTGGCTCAATCACCTATAGACAGTCCATCTGATGTTGAGCACAGAACCATCATAATTCTGCCTCCACCTGTAACAGGTCTGAGCTTCATCATGAAATCTGGCTTCTCAAGGGGAAAAAAATCTCACAAAATACATAGAAAATTTATAAATAAAACTCTGTTAAACGACTTTATTCATTCTAGCCTCAATCTTCTGTCATTTGGCATCTTTTTGTTTGCTTCTGTGTCTTTCTCACAAATACATCATTATTAATTTGCATCTCAAAGTCATTTCAAACAGTAGGAGCTTTTGTCTCAGGGGTCTCAAACCTCCAGGCCCGTGTGTGCTCAGTGAGTTGACTCAGTAATTGTCCTTTGTTGCTTTGTACATCCCAACTTTTTTCCGCTGCTTAAAGCTCCAGTTTCAGACGGTAATCACTGCTGGCCTGCAGGCGTTCTGAACAACCAATGGCACACTGACAGTGGGGATGACATGACCAAAAGTCTGTTTGTTTGGTTACATCCAAGCATGTATTTTCAATTACTGAGACCCCGCAGGCCAAACCACAAACTGAGTCCTGATGAGTGGAAAATGCTGCCGGGTTAGGCGAAGCTCTATCTCTGACAACAATCGCTCCCTTTGGACTAGTTTTAGTATGTAAATTCAAATGAGCTGGATTTAATTATGTCAACTTTATTCAAGTTATCTTTGATGTTCCAACATGTAATGCTCTTATTGTCTGTAAGAGGTACAAATAAAAAAGTATTTGGTTGTATAGTTGAGTTGCAGATCACTGAGAATACATAAAAAACTGTAAAGTTTTGCACACTTATACTGAGTTTGATCACTGTGTTTCTTAAACAATCTTTCAGAACATAAAATCTTTGCATCAGCTCTTTATGAGGTGAAAATACCAACAAAAAAGAAAATAGTGGCTGAGTTATTGATGAGGTTCTGGACCATTCTGAACCTAGGCTAAAAAATTCATATTTTTTTTCATAAATCAAATAAACAAAAAACTTCCCTGATGTAGGAAATTTTGAAGTAAAAGATGATTTCATGAAGGTTTTTTTTTTAACCTATTTTTTAACATTTGGAATATTTGTGACAGTAATTAAAATCTTAAGTTTCCACAATGAAATCTGACACTCATTCCTTGTTATTTGATCATAATGACAAGCGTCAACGTGAGACGACTGTTAGTTTCACCAGGAAAATCTCATTACACGCTTTTAAAAATAAATAATTTTAGGTTTACACTGAATTAATTATGAACTGTGGTCACAAAAATTTTGATAATTAGATGAAAATATGGAATTAAAACACTTCAGAACTTTCAAAGGCTTATTTGATGATACATTTTCAGAAATATTAGTTAATAAAAGCTAACCGCAACTGATGTTTTATCACAACTTCTTATGTCTGATTTTATCAAGTTCCTATAGACTCTTTGTGCAATAAAATCTATTGATGGTAATTTTACCAAAGTGTGTCTGAATCATGTTAAACTGTTACACAAAAAGCATCGACACAGATTACAACTGAAATCGTATTTATTTATGATCTGTACAAGAAGAAAACGCCGACTTCCACAATTAACAGAAAAATAAAAAATAAGTTCTCCTCTCTCTAACCTCTGTAACAGAGGTGCACTAGTTCCTGATAACATCTCAGTCCCTCTCGTACGCTGCTGTTTTTCTTTAAAATGTTAAAAAGTGGTTTTCTCTCTGGTAGACATGTTATACTGCATCTGCGGGGAGCTGTGCTCGGTTGTGTCATCTTTGAGGCTATAACGCCGTCGGGTTGTTGGTGCGGTTTCTAAGCTGGGGGTGGAGCTGTGGGAGGGGTGCATGTGCCATCCGGTCAAACTCACGCAGATGAAACAGCATTAACACGAGGAACTACACACACACACACACACACACACACACACACACACACACACATACATTCACATTCACACAAACAAACACACTCATCCTCCAATAATTAAGTTCATAAAGACGATCCTGCTGCAGGTCAGGGCTTCAAAATGAAAACAAAACAAAACAAAAAAAAGGCAAAATCAGATCGATAGGTAAAATGTTGTTGAATTAACAGAAGTTATTTTGCAGTTTAATTTCTGTTCGATGCGTCACTCCTGCCCGAATCCCTCCGTCTCCTCGATGGCAAAAAGGAGCTTCTCTCGAAGCTGCTCCAGACTTCTGTAGGGCGGCAGGTCTAGACGATTGAAGCTAAAAAAAAAAAAGACAAATAGGTTATTGTTAAAACACTTAAAACACTGGAGAAGAAATTTAGATTGCAGAGGAATTTCTCCACAGAAGCTAGTTGAGTGATTTTTGTAACAAAATTAATAAGAAATTATACGTTTATTCAAAAATTTGATCCAATCTGACATCTTCTGTTTCAAATATCTATCTTCATGCCATTATACTCTCAACCATGTCGTACTGTTTACCTGTTTGATCTCTTACAACAAATGAAATCTTAGAACCCATAGTTAGGCTCTACAACAGGGCCTACAAAATTCATAAAAAACTTCCTGGTTGGACTCATCACTGTACAGGTGACTTTTCAGAATTATGTTTTGTATAGTGGTATTAATTTATATTTTCAGATCCTCCAAGTTGCCAATTATGGAACTCTCTGTGCATTGYTGCCCAAATCAAATTCTGGAAGTGGTCATTCAACTGGATCTGTTACAAAAGGACAACTGATATTACCAACTTTTAAAAACTGTTACAGCCAGAGGTCTTTCTTCTATGTTTATATTAAAGCATGGAATGACATTCCTCAAAACATAAAGTCCATTTCAAAACTACAGCCCTTTAAGAAGAATCTTGTCTGCCATCTGCTGGACACTTTTTGTTGTGCTCATATTTAGACGTCCGATTTTGCAAATGCTGCCTTTTTGAAATTTGTTATGCTTGTTTGTCTTTGTGTCTATGGTGTATAATGATGTGATTGTGATGCTGTAATTCTGAGTGTTTTATGTGCTGCAGAACAGGAACCTGCTGTAAAACAGCAATTATGCTGAGTCAGGCTTGATTTTTAATATTCTTTTCCTGTTAAATAAATAAATCAAATCAAATCAAATCAATATCAGCAGAAATTAGTCTTTTTTGCCACCACTTCTGCAACTTAATAACTTTAATTAAAAAGTTATTATTTTTCTCTGCACTTTAATATAAATAAAAACAGACAGACTGCAGGCCTGCAAGAAAAAAAAGTACCACAGGAAACGGTAGGTATGGTTCTAACTTAGTCAATTTTACAGATTCTAAAATCCATTTATTTTAAACAAGTCATTCAATTATTCATGCAAACAGCTTAATTCAAATATACATACAAATATACAATATACAATATACTCCTCTATAAATTCTTAAAGAAAAAGAAAGAAGTATACTGTTTACACACAGCAGGGACAGAGCATCTCACCATGTGTGACTTCTTGGAAGCCAAGTCTCCTTTCCAACTTTGTCGATGCAGAACTTCTGCGGACCGTTACTTCCTGCAGGAGTGAATCAAAGGTTATGTTTAAGCTTGAATTTTTTATACAATTCTTTTTTATTTTTTAACATTGAAATTCAAATTAAAGCATAACCCATCTGTAATGTGATTTCAGACTTTTAATGAGAAAAATCCCAAGAACTGTATTTTTATGTCAAATTTTGCTGAAAGACAAGTTAAATCCTGTTATTCTGACATGGACACACTGAGTGTACCTATGAGCTCAGCAAAGCCTCCCACCGGCAGCCGACATGTTCCTGTTACAAACTGGAGCAGACGGATTCTCTTCTCGTTGTCCATTTCTTTCACAACCTGCAGAAGCAAAAAAATAAAAAAGGAAAGAAAAACAACAACCTTATTTTATAGAGATCTCCTTTTAAGATGTTTATAAGTCTTCTGATACTGATCTAAATAATCTAAAGCTGAGACCAGGGAATGTTACTCTGGATTTATGATGTTTAAGAGAAAAAAGTGGCAATTTATTGACACTGCACATGTTAAAGTCTCACTGATGCTTTGTTCAGGACTCTGATCTAATTTCTTACAATAAAGATGGATAATTTTATTTTTTATATTAATCTATAAGTGTGTTCAGTGTGTCTGTACCTGCCAGAACCAGTGGATCTGCTTGCTGTTCTTGGTGTAATGTCTATAGATGGTGTTCTTCTGCCAGTCGGCCATATCGATCTCCTGCATCCCACAAAGCATCAGCTGCCACAAAGAAAGCAAAGAAGCAACTTTTATAGATTTACAGATTTTTTCCCCATCAGATGTTTGTTTATTTTTCTTTGTATGACTTAAAAAGTCCTGGGTTTTGTTGTTTTTGTTAATTGTATTTCAGAGCTTAGTTAAAGGCCTGGGTCAAGTAAATTTCATTCTCACCTCCAGCTCCTTCTCATCAAAGTAGCGAAGCCACTCCAGAGGAACCACCTCGTTGAAGCCGTCCAGGAAAGCTTTGGTCTGTTCCTCGACCCCTCGGGTGAACCTCCAGTCCGTCAGCAGGCTGCGGCGGGAAACGACAGCTCGTTTAGAAAGTCTGATCTTCCTCCCGCTCCGCTCAGCTCCAACAACTTCTGCCATCTCACCTGATGTACTCCTCCTTGTTTTCCTCCGTGACCAGCTCGTTCTCTCCGTCGTCCTTCAGCTGGTGAGTGGAAACCTTCCCCAGGATCTCCATGTCCTGAGCGAAGTACAGCTCCACTCCGCACTCCTCCAGGTTGTTCTCTCTGGACAAACAAACACATTTTAGTTCCAAAAACTGCACACGTTTATTCTCATTCGCCAAATCATCTGGAACTAACCAGAAGTGAGTAAACTTCAGGATAGAGCTTTTTATTTTTTAAATGCAAAAAGACTTGTTTTAACCAAGATGTCACATGCTCCTCTGCGCAGCATTTCTGATACAGATCAGAAAACTTTACGAGGAAGGAGAAAATTCAGGTTTTCTGTGAGTTCATTTACAAACTTTTAATCTCTTCTAGCAGAGTCATATTTAACATGAACTGTAAAATGGTAAATGTGTTGAAATGGTATAGCGCCTTATTAAATCCACTTGGACTCCAAGGTGTTCATTCACGCACACATCCACACACTGATGGTGGCTGCCCTGGGTCACACTGACAGAGGCGGGGCCGCCATGCACCGGYGTCACCGGACCCTCTGACCACCATCAGTAGGCAAGGCAGCTGAAGGGTCTTGCCCAAGGACACAACGACTGAGACGGCTGGAACAGGAGATCGAACCGGTGACCTTCTGGTTTCAGGACAACTCCCCTAACCACTCCGCCACAGCCGCCCCTGTACTAATTTAAATGTCTACAATTGTATAAAATATATTCAAAATAAAGAAGGATTATGTCTCATTGAAATAACTTTTTCTTTACGGCATTTTTAAGCAATTTCTAAACTTGGCATCTGAACCCAAAATATTTTTAGAAATATAGAGAGTGATAAACTTTTAATAAAAAAAACATTACTTTTTAGTTTAAAGATGTGAAATCTGGTTTGACTTCAAAACGAATCTCAAGAAATTATGAAAATGAAAACTTGAAATATTTATTTTTAAAAACCTGCTTGCTCATGAGATGATTTCTAAGCCTTAACTTCTAAATTAAGTGTTAGTTACTCTTGCGAATATAAAACAAAACAAAAAAAAATTATAGAGGCTTCCTGTCAAATTCATAATTCATTTAAAAATGTTACTCTTGACTTTTAGAGCTTTTAATGGACAGGCTCCTCAATATATCACAGAAATACTGACTCCTTCCTCTTCTGGCTGCAATCTTCGATTTTCAAGTCAAAATCTCCTGAAGGTTCCTAAAACCTGGCTTAAAACTTGAGGGGACCTGTCCTTTCAATTGTGGACCGCCGTGCTCGTGTCTCCACGTGACTGACTCAGCTGACTTCTTTAAGCAGCAGCTTAAGACTCTTATTCAGACAAGCTTTTAGCTAAATGTATTAATTAGCATTTTATTAGTTGCAATAACTTGTTTTATTATAAGCTTTTTCTGCTTATATTGTTTGTATTTCTATTATTTCTGCTCCTTGTGAAGCACTTTGTGAGGTCTATCTGTGAAAAGTGCTCMATAAATAAAATCTACTTACTTAAAACCACAGATAAAAAAACCTTCATTACTTACTTGACCCACATGATGGAGTTGTAAAACTCCGGGTCTATGGACTCCAGGTCTTTGAGAGTCGGCTTCTTGTCCAACATCCGCTTGTAGAACGGCAGCGTGAAGCCGGTGTCGATGAACTTTCCGTGGTACAGAGCCTGCAGGGAGGATAGTTTTCATTAGAAATTACAAGGAGGAACACCACCTGGAGGTCTCCACTCATATTTCTTAATAAATAAACACCAGGACTCAGGCGGTGAAGCTGATGATGTGTCAGGTTGGAGTTACAGGATGTAATAAAACAGAGACAAATCTTTCCTCCTCCAGCTGGGAGGTTTTAGTGTTTTTATGGCCTCTGCTAACATTAAAATTTCAGGTTAGTTTTCCTAAACTAGTTCAAACATTTTAATTCAAGACGTTCAGTGTTTGTGCTGATGATTGATTTGATTTGATTTATTTATTTATTTATTTAACAAGAAAAGATTATTAAAAATCAAGCCTGACTCAGCATAATTGCTGTTTTACAGCAGGTTCCTGTTCTGCAGCACATAAAACACTCAGAATTACAGCATCACAATCACAGCATCACAATCACAG